TCCCAAGTTAGCAAAGTGTTCCTGATTCTTCCAGAAGTGATAGCAATTCATTATAAACCAAGTTCAAGCACCACTTGTCAAAACTGAGCACGCAGTCTACTGTAGCCAGGAAGGCACCAGATTTCAACTTAAGTCATCAGGTACTATTCTCCCATCACAATCACAGCTGGGCAAATCAACCATTTAATCTTTCTCTTCTTTTTGGTGATATTTGTACAGACTGCTGATTCTTTAGGGAGGAAGCTGCCTCTGAGTACTTGCCCTTGAAACCTGAAGTACAAGCAGTCACTCCTGTAACAGATATAAAAGCAAAAAGCCTGGGGTTTTTTGTTTATTTAAGCTTCTTTGGTTTTTTTTGTGAGTTTCCTAACTTAGACTCTGATCTGCTGCTCAAGCTCATCACAACAGACCTGTCCAAGTATGCAGCCTTCAAATTAATAGCTTATACAGAATATTAATCTGTCCTATATGATCAGGCATCAGGACATGGAAGACTATTTTACACTCACTTGTTGATTAAGTTAATCAGGATTTGTGCCTAAGGGTACACTTCTTGCTTTAAAATACAGGCAGACTTACTTGGTATGAAGGAACAAGGAATCAAATTTATATTTTACCCTGCAGTCTTAAACTTTATGAGACTGGAAGGTCTGAAGTTTGAAGGTGAAGTCTGGAAAGCAAACATTACTTTCTGCTACTATGAAGAAAGCAGAAGATTCCAGTGTATCCAACCACAACCAAAATCAGCATACACTTTAATAGGAAGCAAGGAAAAGGAAGTAAAAAGGAATCACAGAACTATTCAGGTTGGAAAAGACCCTTGGGATCACCGGGTCCAACCATCATCCCTACTCTACGAAGTTCTCCCCTAAATCGTATCCACCAACACCACATCCAAACGACCCTTAAACACATCCAGGGATGGTGACTCAACCACCTCCCTGGGCAGCCTATTCCAGTGTCTAACCACTCTTTCTGTATTTTTTTCCTAATGGAAACTCCCTTGGTTTCTAAGGGACAGACATTAGAGTGGAATATTCCTACAAAATGTAGCCTAAAGAATAAGAGCTCTTGGAAGAGCTTTCACAAACTAAGCACCTTAACCAGAAATTGTAGAAAACTAGAAATTCAGAGAGGGAATCAGCACATGGTGACAGCTGTAATGAGAAAGATCTGTTACAAATGTTTCAAGTGAAATAGTACAAAGAAAAAGGAAGAGAGATGCATAAATACCACACCACTGCTGCCATCAGGCTGAACTGCACACGTAAGATCTTGAGGTGACAACAGTGAGAAGTACAATTTCACCTTTTATTTCAAAAGTTGTATTTTCCTTAAGCCCAGCTAGCAAAGCAGATAAGGTCAGATTAGTCACAAAAGCAATTTCAGGTCCTTTGGCAGACTTGCACTGCTAATATTAGATAAAGACTAGATTCAAACTTAGGATGGTGTTCCTGAGAGGTTAGGCTAATTTCCTGCTCTCCCAAAGATAATCAGTAAGAAAGGATTTTGCATGGTAATTTTGTCCTCTGGATAACACAACCCTTAGAAATACACCTTAAGTTACTAAAGCATCATGCAAAGGCAAAAGTGGTACAATGCAGATCTCAGAAGAAAAGGCATATCAGTAGTGGAAACTATGGCAGATTATTTAATAATTATTAAGTAGGAGCAACAAGAGAGTACAGGAAACTGATGGCTGTTTTCTCTTCGGTGTTCCCTTGTGATGGCAACTACAAGCAGCTATGTTCGCATATTGACAAAGAAAGGTGTCTGCCTAGTAAAAGCAGAGAATGGGTAGGAATGTTATTTCCTGAAGTTCAATGTTTACAGGGTCTCAGGGCCCAAAAGACGTCTCTGTAAATTGTTAAAAATTTATATGTTAGTCTCATATTAATACAATATGTTAAAAAAGTAGCCTCAAAACCAGTAGTAGTAGTTACATTTGAGAACTGGTAAGTTGAAATGCCTATTTAAATTTAAACAGAAAGACAGGGAAGAAAAAAAGCAACAAAAACTTCTTGACCAGTGTAAAGGCCATTAATTTTTAATTCTAAAAAATATTTTGGAACAAGTACTACAATTACACTTATTTCTGTTTTCCACAGTAACTGACACAGCTTGGCCAAGAACAAGTTATATTAAAATCCTTTCTTCTAAAATGCTTTCTTTAGCATAATGAAAAAGCAGATGAAATATCTTTATCTTGACATCTGATTATCACAGGACAGTTTTTTAAACAAGACAAACACAGCGCAGATGAAACTATTACAGTATGAATGCAGTGCTAGCTAGAGTTATTAAAGAAGAAAAAAATTACATTAGAGTCTACAGTCAAAACAGAAAGCTGCAAGGATGTTCTGCAGAAGTATGTCCTAGGACCAATTCCATCAATATTCTAACAATCAAGATGATTAAATCAATAGACAATATTGCATTGAGTTGTGTCTCCCAGATCTACTGGAGGGCAGTATTCAAATTAAAAAATAACCTTGACAAGTTAAAAAGCTGTTTAGAAAAATCACATTTAATACTGGTAACTATAGGAATCATTCAAAACTAAAGTCAGAATCAGTCACTGCAGCAAACATGACCTCAGATTTCTGACACCTTCAATGCCATAAAATAGCAAAGGGCTATAAAGTATTCCAGTTTAATTGCCTTGTGCTATTTGTATCAGACTTTTTTCCCCTGACCCAACAGGGATATAACCAATGAGCAGGTGCCGAATTTAAAAAATAAAAAAAAAACCCTCCTCCTTCTCCCTCTAAAAATAATTCCTGACTTACTTCAGATCTATGAACCTTCTCCATATTTCATTAAACTCTTCAATTCAGAGATTTGGCAATCTTTTAACAATTTTGAAGAGGAAAACACTGCCATCTCCTGGAGCAAGGGAAGCCTGCAGCAGTTCTCTGTCCGCATTCTCGTCTCCATCTTGCATTGTTTGCTATGCACTGAAAAGTAACCTCAAGGACTGAGCAAGTCACCAGATGCTGCATTGAGAAGGACAAGCAAAAGGCTACAGTACAGTACCACTTGCAAGGCAAGTCCTGGTGTTCTAAGTTCTGTAGTAACATGAATCATGTCCACTCACCTTCCCCACCAAATTCTACATGCCTGAGCAGCTTCCTTTTAATCAGCCTTCCACACCCCATGATCCTGAATTAAAATCTCTGTAAAAGTAGGAGTGGGGCTAGAAACGAAATATAGCAGCATATTCTTATTAAAAGCACAGCAGACTGGATGGAGTTGTAGGTGACTCCAGGCCTACAGTTTTCAAAGCTTTCTGCTATCATTTTTTGGTGTCAAGAATCCATATTACAATCACCTGTTTTCATCTAGCAGCCTTCAAGAAGCATCTTCTGACAACATACCCAATGCTGTTAGCATAACCTGATCAGGCTTACAGCCCTGCTTCACACTGAACAACTCATAACAGTCCAGAAGATACACTCCATTTAAAAGATATATACAATTACTTGGGTTACTTCAAGTAACTTGAGACACAGCTATTAAAAGGAGTTCATACTGTAGGGAAGCTGCAAGCAGTGTTATATGAAAGCTCTTCCACTTCCCCACTGACCCTGGCTGTTCTCCTAGTGCTTAGTTCCAGGGCTAATTGGAAGCTACCTTATGGATCTAGTGCTCCATTCACGTCAGTTGCTACCCTGCCCAAAGAGGGAACTCAGTTACATTCGTTTCTTCACTGGATTATATCTGAACTAGGATAATCAGAGCTGCAGATGTTTTAAAATTAATCTTCTGATTACATAGGTTATAATATTCTTACCTTTTCCTATTAATCCATCTTGGAAGTTTCTAGTCTTTTGGAATGGATTATTGATTATAGATTACTGAATACAGCTGTTAATCATTCCTCCAAAAAAGAGCGTAACTACCAAAACAAAAGCATTAATGTCAGAAGGCTTCCATAGTCAGAGAAGCACCAGTAAAACCCAAAGGGTGAATCAAGATGAAAGCACATCTGACAGAGTATCAGCTGGAGGAAAGAAATAGTGGTCAAGCCTAGAGACAGACAGATTTTTAGACACCACTACTTGGATCCTACAGTTCAATCTTACAGCACACTTGACAACTGCCATTATTTCCTTTTTTTGGTCATGTGAACAGTATGAATAACTTATTAGGCCTAACACTATTTCTTATTTCCTCTAAGAATTTCAGGTAATTTCATGCCTTTATTTTCTTCATCATGGAAATGCATTCTGCTTAGCTTCCTGAGGCTTCTTAAGGGCTTTACCTGGTTAGAAACAACTAACCTAGGAGATAAGTTCCATCAGAATATTTTAAAAGTACTCTGTGAAGAACACAAAGTTTTCTTCCCTGTACTTCTAGCTTAATTCCACATTATTTGGCTTCCTTCTATTCTGCAATTGCAGTTGAAGTTCACAGCTGTAAATGCTAAAATTCATTTGGTTTTGGGTAAACACCAGTAAAAGAAAGAACTCTGGAATTCTTTGGCCATCCTACCTCAGGCCAGCTTTCAACACTACATGTTCTTATGTGCTGTGTCCTTAGAAAAGAACAATTTAGACACATTAATAAAAATAAAAAAGAACTCCTTAACAGTTAGTATGTTCAACTCAAAATTAAGTTTATTTTCTAAAATAAAAAACATGCACATTTGTAATATACACCATCTGATTCTTACCAAATACATGTATAAACATTTTTTTTTCCTTTTAATAAAGATCTCTATCTACAGTCCCAATCCTGAATGCCAGCCTGCCCAATTGGATTTTAGGCAAACAGATTCCACTGAAGTTAATGTAGATCTGTATTGTTTCAGGTGCTGGAAAACTAATGTACCTGCAGAACTAGGTAATTACTTCTTCAGGCACTTCCCATTTGGCTAGACCAAGTTTAAGAGTTTCATTACTTATACAAAAGCAAGAAAATTCCAGTCTTCATAGGCTTCTTCAGCTGATTTCCACATGAAGGAAGTGAGGAAAAAAATTTACACATCAGTCATCTCATTAACAGAAAATGCCGTATTTCTTCTTCAATTCTTCAACAGAATTATCTTTCAATCCCATGTGGTTCACATGATTGAACAGTACCTGTGCAACTGTAGAAGAAAGTTATAACATAAACTGTTATTTTTGTTATTCAAACTCTTAAGGTAAATCAGTCCATTTCCTCCCTCAGTGAAAACAAGGACTGGATTATATAGCAGAAATACGAGTAAATTTTTGGAACTACTGAAAGGATGAAAAAAGTAGCAAAGGGAAGCTCTCACTTTGTTTTGATGCCCATGAGCTGCCTAACAAACATTTCCTTACACAGCTGTTTAATCCCTACAACAGACAGCTTTTGTTTACTCTCTTGGCATTATGGCATTACACGTAGAAGATAATGCCAGATAAAGCTTACAACAGGTTGAAGGCATGAATGCAATTCCTAAGAGGAATTTACTTGCACTTCAGTAAGTCAAACAAGTAGTTTTATTTTGAGGAGATTCACATATGAAAAATCTGAAAGTACAACGGTTATTACTGAAACTCAGCTGTAAACAGTAAATGTGACATTATTTGGTTCCAGAGAAATGCTTTGCTTTTAGGTGTCTCACATATTCTTTCTGGTGTGCTAAATAAAGAAAATGTTGGAGATGAAAACCAATTTTGTAAACCATGAATTCAAGCCAATGTCAACCTGAATTGCAAACTAATTTAAATGATGCTTCAGGAACAGGACAGACAATTGAGCTAAATGGCTTAGACATTAGCATTCTTTCTGCTGACAATAAAGTCAGGATTGACAATAAACAGTTGTAAATTGTGGAAACTGTAATTTGGATACATTGCATCTCAGATATAAGCTTTTGTACAAATTCATAAATCTGTAACACTGCCAGCTACAAACTGAAATGCCAGAGAAGCTTACTTTATCAGCCTAACATGCAGTGGTAGTACTGATAAAAAATAAGGGGATTTAACTGTATTTTTCAAGTCTTAAGAACAAGGAATCAAAAGATTATGAAAAATCACATGACATTCATATTAACTTCTGAACCAATCAAAAAGCTAGACAATTAACTAATCTTACTTGATTTTTACATGGAATAAACAGAAAGATAACTAAATTTGAAATATTTCTTCCTAGATTCTACACTACCACAGATAGTTTTAAAAAGACACTACTGAATTACTTACTTTTTTTCTCTGAGCCTGACATAAACATTACTGCCATATCAAATCTTTGTAATTCAGACAGCCTCTGGAGGATTTCCAGGATGAGTGATGGCTCTTCTTTCCTGAGGAAGATTATTAGAAATATAAAAATAACTACTCTTGATTAGAAAGATTCACGAGCTGCAACCAATATTGAAGACTTGAGGAACAAGAAATAAAAAAGACCAATGGAATTCCTTGCTCTGTCTCATCTCAGTGCTAGCTGGAAAACAAAAGTTGGACTACATCACAATAAACATTGCACAAGATAAAACACTCTGTGTTTCTCAGCTTTGGAAAGTTAATATAGAAAAGTAATATTGTGCAATTATATGTCATAAAAACATATATAGTAATATGAAAAAATATTTCATATAGTCTGTTCAGTTTCCAGTGCAGAACTGAATTTAAAAAAATACAGTAAAGGCTATTTCTTTACCTCTTTTCTATCTGTTTCTTCAAGATATGCTTAATTTCTTGGGGAGGAAAGAAAAAAAGGCAATTAACCAGAATAGCAATAAGCAATATTTAACAAAAAAGGAGTTAAACTTACTCAATGTAGAAATCATGTAGAATTTTCAGTATCTGGTTAAACAAGTCTGGATCCAAGGATTTCTGGAACAGTTTTGGATAAAGCGAAGGCTCTATTTGCTTTGGAGAAGTTAAAGAAGTGTTTTTAGGCAAAAAAAATACAGTTGAATCATGAAAATTAGAAATTAGTTTTTAGGATGTCCGGAACAGTTGAAGTGCATGAAAGCAAACAAGAAAAACCCAAAATACTTGCACTATTTTATGCTGAACATGAATTTAGTGTGTTTTTTGTGATGATGGGTACTAACTTATTTTAAAAAAGAATTAAGCAATTTTTTTTTGCATATATGCAGAAGTAGGCATTAAATAGATTGATGTGTTTCAAGCATTTATTCAGCTTAAAAACGGTAAGAATGTTCCTATGTCTGAGAACCCTGGAAACATTAATTTGAAAAATCAGAATTTAACATGGTTACCAATGTACTTAATTCTTTATGGAATCATAGAATGGTTTGGGTTGGAAGGGGACCTTGAAGATCACTCAGTTCAAGCCCTCTGCATGGTATGGAAGACCTTCCACTACAGGGCCCATGTTTGAGAGAAGACTCAGACTGAGGTAAGTGAAAAGTCAGGCACATGAGGAGAAACACTCCAACGTGAATTAAACTACTTGGTATTATGAGAAGGCAATTAAAGGGACTGTTGTACACTGTTAAGATGCTCTAAACAGAGCTATATTTTCTAACTAAGTTTGTGCTGTTTCTTCAATGTCAGCTGAACAATACTACGTTTCATACCTTCAGGTACAAGTACATATTTTCCGGGCAGTCTTTCAACTTCCTGAAGTCAGCCTCAAGTTGGAAAGAATTTGCAGGAATGGCAGGGACTGAAAAACTAGATGAATTTGTGACTTCTTCTCTTTGTTTGTTGACAGGAAAAGTTGGATGTGACATTGATGAAATTCCTTTTACAATAGCAGGAAGCCTGCAGAGAGATTTTTGAAACGCATATTTAAGAAAATGTTTAAAGAAATCCCTTCAATCTTTTGATTCACAAAAAAGCTACAACGTTATCAACATGTTTTTAAATAAGGTATCTTAGGTAGCTAAAAAAACCCTCTCAAATTATGGAAGCTTTATATCTGATTCATCCTTTATAAAAAGACACCTGCAAAGAATTACGATTATACTGGGGCTTTTTCTAGTTAAGTTTCAGGAAATTACTGTATTTTAAGATCCACAGGCTACTACCATACACAGCTGCAAAAAAAATTACTACATTTTCTGCAATTTCATGCTGCAAAATAATAACCATATCAAATGAACAAACCATTTTTAACATTGATTACAGTGGAGCTATTTTTTATCCTGCAATTTGTCAGTGAAGTCCATTTATTTTTCAAAAGTTATAAAATGGCTAAGAAATATACTTTTTTCTTCAACACTTCACAGTAAATCATCTGACCAAGCTGGAAAATATGGCTGTGAAAGGGTATTGGAAATTCTTCAATCAGAGTTCCCTTAGAAGTATTTACTGTTAACAGAGTGAGATTATGTTGATACATACAGAGCTCTTCTGAGCAAACAAGTAGATTTCCAATATCTAGGAGTGATGCAGTTGGGATAGTGGCTTCTATATTTCTGCCTTCTTTCAGCCAGCCAGACTTGAGTTTGCCTAGCAAACATGGTGGAACTTGGGAACTTCTAACAGAAGTTACTGGCTGCCTGATCAGCAAAGGAACTCTAGAGTGCTGACGCTATCACCCGTGCCTTTTCTCCCACACAACTGGTGTGCAAAAACATTTGAACCCTGATCAGAATTTACTCTAGAACATTACAAATAAAAATTGCAGCATGGGAAGATGAAGTGCACAAAGAACAGACTATGGCATACAGGAAATGATTATGAATTTCTTTATATTTTAAATGTAAGAACATGACTAGTTTTCCAACTGACGGTAAATATGTAATCATATTAATCTCAACCACTACATGATCAAAGAGGCAGACGTGCAAAAAAAACACAGTTTATTTCAACACTCCTTTAATTCAAATTCTCCACAATATGTTCGCTACCTCATCACATGCAGGAATCTGAGAATGAAGATTTCAACTACATTTACCTTTTAAAAAGGAGATCAGAGTTTTTATACTTACTGTAATGGTGTCGTATCACTGACTTCTTCTATTTTCAAGTGCTTTGCTTTAGGAATGTCCATTGTAGTCAACTGATCATCCTGATCTAGATTCTCTGTTGTTTCAACACTCATTGAATTCCTCCAGCTACTGGCTGAAGAAGTAGTGATGGGCAAATCACTATCTGGTGTCTCATCATCAATTTCTTCAATGGGTATTCTTTGCAAAGGTTTCTAAACAGAATACACACCTCAATGTCATGTGTGTCGCCTCAACATCAGTGTATGTGCAGACCCCAGATAAACAGCTGTGTTTAACTTTAAATAATCTCATGATAACTAGTTTCATCTGTAGTGGTACACATGAAAGAGTTTCAATGAAGGTAAATGGCAAAAAAGGAAACTTTGTGAGTTTGTACAAGAGGAATACATGATCATTTTACTGCTTTCTGTTCATAAACCTTAGTATCCTTATTCTAGAGGATTCCAGAATCTGCATTCTTTTTTCCCCAGTAATAATAATTTTAGAAAGTAGGTTGTTTTTTTCCCCTACTAAGGTTAAATGGGCAATTAATACTATATATTTTGACCAACGACCTGGTAAAGCTTTGTAATTTAACTAAACAAGTAAGCATCCATCAATATATGCCTTGCCCCTCAACTTAAAATTTTGAGATTCTGTTGGTGCGATATTGTCTTCTGTGTTCTCTGACCTTCCTTTGAGCTTACGTAGATATATGGAATGGAATATCTTTGGCCAATTTTGCTGTCTGTCTAACTCAGCCTCCTACGGGGGGGTCACAGATCTCCCCATAGCGTCTGAGCCGGCAGAGTGCAGGTGCGGCCTTGAAGCCTCAGTAGTTAGAAAAACATTCCACTGTCTTATCAGCCTAGCAGAACACACTGTTGCTAGTTACAAGAAAGCTTACTGAAGGAAAAAAAAAAATCAGTAAAAAAGGAAAATTGGCTTCATCCTGGCTCAAACCAGGACAGAGATGACAAGTATCTGTAATTCATCCCTGCTGGTTGATCCAGTTACATAGATCTTAAGGCAATTAACTCTACCACTAGAGGATGTGTTACCTAAAATGCTTCAGCTTGTTTAATCTCTGCATGGTCACCATTGTTTTTGATCACGATTTAGCACCAGCTTCACAGGTCTTACAAGAAAGCACCAATTAGTCAGGGGACGAAAAAAAACAAACCATCATCACTTTTTACTTTGGAACTTCATCTCCTAAACATGAACTTAGTCTATCTTGCTCCAGAAATACAGATGCAAATACACGATTAAACATACTCAACAATGCAGACTTCCAGAAATGGCAGACATCTGTCTAACTCTTAACACAATCCTAACAGAAGTTTTCACAGGAGTTTGAAGACTGCTTTAAATCATGCCAGAAACCCCATCTTGTTTGTGTATTGACAGACAATACACCCTTTGCTTTGACAATACACAATCTCATCACTGCGCTAAGACTGGGAGGCGGCCCAGTAGATGTGAAACAAAATTACAGTTCTCTGAAATCCTTGGGCAATACTAAAAGCACAGATGATTCATCTAATCTTGTACTTTAGCAGATAACAAGGAAAAAACAATCAACCTAGTGTCTCCACCTAATTCAGAACTGAAACCGAAAACTTATTATACTTGCCCATAGTATTTCAGGTACTTCAAAACAAATTCACTTAGGTTTCTACAAATACCATACCTTGTTATGAAGACTGCATAATATTTCCCTCCTGCCTCTAAAATGGCTCAAAATAATCACACATTTTCTACTAAAACTATCCATCTGAATTATATATTTAATAGAAGTAAACAAACATTTTGAAATCAGGAATAGCAGAACACTACAGCACTCTACACAAAGCGTAAGCACGCTATGTACTTACAAAATTCACTGCTGAATGTATAAAGATTACATGTACTAAAAGTGGAAGCCTAATACATAAAGAAAGCTGACATTATTGTCTGTATGACATTAATTTTGTCATATTTAACTCATTAATGCCATCATAACCAGTGATAATTCATAGTCCAAAAATACTGCTTCTTGGAAACCAATACCCAGCTATTCTACAGTTTATGTGGATGAAAATGCAGGCTCAGGGCTCTTGCAGTAGCATCTAACATGGGTAGACAACGTCTTGATTGCACTTTGGCTGCTACAGAAACTGTAAACAGTAGGAGAAAAGAAGGGCTGTTTACCCAGAGCTTTCTCAAGTCTGCAATCAATCATGGAGACTCAGCTGCCTCTCCTTAACTCTCAACTGTAACGTTACACAGCTAAGGACCAGGAGAGCGTCGTGGGGTTGCCTCCCCATTTTGTATTAATTTCTTGAGTGTGGTACTGTAGGCTGAATGCTTACACCACTGCTACTGTTACACACATACGGAAATGCTGAAGTTATGTTCTTGAAAAACATTGAAAGAGTAAATCTGTACATTTCTGGCTTTCCACAGGCAAGAAAGATGTGTCTATCAGGACTTAGCCTACCTAAATTGCAGGAAGCGAATTTTAAGCTCTACTTTTACCATCATTATAGAAAGCAACTCACAAAATAAAACAACTTACTGTTGATTTCAGCTGTAATGGATTATCAATCACTTTCACTATATCTTTTATTTCCGTTTCTTTAATCAACACTGCAGGATATTTTTGATGGGTTTGCTCTTCTTTCTCAGCTAAATCCTGAAAAAATGGTAAAGTTGTCCAAAAGATCAGAAGTTTGAGCAATAATAAGGTATGTTAAAAAAAAAAAGAATGAAAATATTATGTTACTATGATATTAGGGAACAACAAAAAAAGCACAAGTAGACATACATTCCTTATTTTAGTGAGTTCATTTATCGCTTGTTTATTTCCAGGTTCCAGCTTCAGAACAGCTTCAAAATCTGAGTGAAAAAACAACATAGAAAAATTGTTGACATTTCAAATTACAAAGTACTTCTGGCAAATCTTTAAACCTTCTATTTTCCTTTCACAGCTTTAAAATAATTAAAAGCAGGTGAGTAATCCTAATGGCTTACACCATGACCTAGCTTTTAAACACATTTTTCAATTTATTCCTTGCTACTCATCATAAGCAACAACAGTTGTCATTTCACACAAAACTGTCTTCTGATCATGTGGATACCATGACAAAAGATTTTCTATGCATTCAATCAAACACAACCAAGCCCCACCGCTCTTAACTTTTGCACTGATAATCTCAGTTACTCAACAATTTAATTGCTATTAGAATACTAAAAAAATCAGGATGTCCTTTTACTCTTCACTTATATATCACAATTAGGCTAATTCAAGGTCATACCTTGTATAGCTTCTTTCACCTTTCCAAGAGCAACTCTGGCAGCTCCTCTTCTGGCAAAGGCTTTAGAATAGGAGGCATCTAAGAGCAGAGCTTGTGTACAGTCATTTTCTGCCTCTTCATATCTCAGCAAAAGAGTAGTATAAAATTAATAATCAGTTTCAAGTGGCAGTTTCAAATGAAAAGACAGAGCTACCCAAAACAAAACATGAAGACAGATCTTAATTGCCTACATACATACAAATACACACCACAGAGCTAAAATGTAAAATAAAAGTAAACATATTTTATATGACTTCTCAGCACCTTGAAATCTCAGTCACATCTTTTGATATCTCATGTCACACTGCTGACTCTTTTTATCATAACAGAGAAATTCACTTCCTCCATGAAAATAAACACTTGAAGCATGTCAGAGCAAACTCCACCTTAAACATTAAATAACCTTAAAATGAAAGTCAGCATCATAGTTTTGTACTTCCAAAGCCTAAAAACACTATTACAAACAAACTAAAAAAACAAAATAAGGGAGAACAAAAACGAAACAAAACATGAGATCAAATTTCTCCACATCTGAATTTCTGTGACTTGTCCTGAACTATTTCAGAATGAAAAGTCAGTAATTCACTTCACTTTAAGATCAAATGATCCCAGTTATATTTAGTTACATTAGATCATTATTCCAGTGTGTGCATATTAACATATTTGCAATCTTTCTTCTCCTCCTTCAATCTATCATTAAATTTATGGAAACAGAACTGGGTTTCTTTGCAGTTCTTATCTGTTCTAGAGGTTTGTAAGAATACCAATGAGCCTCTGTTCCATTTTATGTTTGGAACTTCTTTGAAATATAAAACTCAAGATACACTGATTTATCACACAGAATTGATTTTCTTGCTTGATCCTTCAATTGAACTTTCACTTCCTCTGATTCTCTGAGTACATGATTTACATAACCATATTCTCTATGGCTTCAGTATTAACCTACAAATGTTGCATCAGAAACATTTCCTGTGCAACCTGTTTAAAAATCTCCTAATTTGCGATCAGTGTATTGTCTCTAAGATACCCAGACAAGTCATGTTAGAACAGATGACCAACATAATGCTCAGCTTTGCACTTTTCATGCTACCAGTTTAAAAGGTTTACACTACCACACCATGGGGGAGTAAAAAAAAAAACCAAACAACTTCAAAAACGGAATTTCTCATTTTCTCATACGGAATTTCTCTCATTTGCTAGAAAGCATGTATTTCTGGATCCACTACTGAATAATTTGAATAAAGCTTAATTAGTAATAAACTAATTCCACATACACACATCCATTAGCAGAATTAAAGAAAAATATTTTTAAATATGTCAGCTTCCAGAAAAAGCTCCACTCCATTCACTCTCAAGTCAGAAATTATAGTCCACTTCTTTCTACAATGCAGTATTTAGTAACTGACTAAGTTTCATAGTCAAAAAAGACAAAGCTTCCAGCAGGTCAGTTCTAGAAAGGTGAATATCTAGCATTTTACACACATAAAAGAATTAAAATCAAACTTTAGAAACTACAGTTCCATACTGGTGTTATTTTATTCTTTCAGAACGTCTTTCCTACAAAATGCCTTGTAAAATCACACATATCAAACTGTTCTCTCTCCCTGTTCTGTTTTCAATACGATTTATTGTATAAGGAATTCTAAAAAGAATTAGAAGGTGTGACAGTAACTTGAGTGAAAATCGACTTGATCATTCTTCTGTCTCATTAACAACAAAGTAAAACCGGCAGAGCACATGTAATCCTACTTACTTTTCAAGCTTCAGATAGGCCATGGCTCTGTTCGCTGGAAGAAGCGCATTGGTGCCATCTGCTGCTATACCACGGGTGTAACATTCAATTGCAATATCATACTTTCCTTCTTTAAAATAACCATTACCCTGTAATAATCAGGTTAGAAAAAAATAGTGTTGAGAAAGATCTAGTGTAATGATTTTTTCTTATAGTTTTTAGTAGGCAGGGTCACAATATCGAGAAGTGGGATCGCAAAAAAACACCCACATCAAGGCAGATATTTATGGCATATTTCTCCATATCAAAGCTTGGAGACAGACCACAAAACATACCTTAACTTTTTCTATATCAGGGATAAAAAAAAAACAACCCAAAACAACTGCTAAATGCATAATTTAAGTTCAGACTTGTAGTCTTAAACTTGTGATTTTTCTTAATGCTTGATATGCAGGAAAAGCAACCTTGTATCTCCTGAATTTAAACACAAGCTGAAGAAAACTGAACCTTTGCAATTCCCTGCTCAAGGCTGTTTCCTGTGCTGCACAGACCTGTCTTTATCCTGCTACATCTATAGAACTGTTTCCCTGAGACAATGGTGACAAATGTTTGTCAAGACAGATGTTTTAGTTGATGATGGTATTTCTTAATCGTAACAGTGGCGAGAGGGAGTAATCAATAAGCCAACGGTTGAGTCATGACAGTATATCCAGAAATACATTTTTATTGTCATTGCTGCCTGCACTCCCTGAAGTCTACTTTTCTTTTCTTTTTCTTTTTATTCTCCCTGAATAGCTACTTTTCACCATGTAATCAGAGGTTTGAAAACATAAGAAATAGTCCACAACACTACTTGGACAAGAAGGGGTCAAAATGCATATAATACTGGACAAATTATATCTTTGTTAAATACAGCTAAAGTTCTACTTAATTTACTACATATTTGAAATTTATCACCTATAATCTGTGCTATAAAAGCTACCTTGGATAATTATTCGTCCAGAGAGTCCAAACAGAACTCACTGTTCGCCCCCCTAGAGACCAAAATGGGGAATAATTAAGGTTGCATCGTGGACACTGTCTTTATGAAGTTCAAGACACTATTATGTTTAATGTACACATCTGGATAGCTAATAGCACACTTTTCTTTTCTAGGTCTCTCCTGCTCCACCAGAAGCTGTAACTTACCAGATCTTTTTCTGTAATAGCCTTCTGCTTGAGCTGCTGGTCTTCAATACGCTTCTCTTCGTCTGTTAATTCTGGTCTGACTGCACCTTCAGACCCTCTGTGTTCTGAACTTTCTTTTGATGACAGAGCCTGCAGAGATGTAGGGATTTTTCCTGCGTATCTTCCCCACTTACACATTTTCAGAACATAAATCAGGATAAAACACAAACTTTTAAAGCACAAAAATCTGCTAAGCATTTAAACAGAAGTGCCTGTGTTGTACGTTGAATGCAAACTGAAGAGATTAATCTAAACTGTTCCTGAAAATGTATTTCTGAGGGACTACAAGTCATAACATTACTTGGTAAATAAGAAGTATGTAATTTCTGAAACACAACATAAAATGATCCATAGAACCTGTCTAAACATACTCCAATTCACAACTTGTTTATTTCTTCAGTTACTGGAGACTTTAGGTCTTCACTCAAAATTTTCAAGGACTTTCAAGACCATAGTTGAAGAGGTATAAGCATATTCACACAGTAATTACAGATTAGCTTATATTTACTGAAGTAATTTTATTTAATATTCTCTCCTTGTCATGAAATGGATCAGACTTGCAGTAGAGTATTACATTTTCCTAGGCTTAAACTCACTTTCTGGTGTGGCAGACCACAGCAATCAGTGGGATTACAAGCAGGCTTTTATCATATGTACTGCTTCCTTGTACCAAAATACTACAAATGACTGAAAAAAACATTAATACAGCAGGTAGAAAAAACATCAGAGAAAACACTTTTAAAAAAACACACAGAGATTGGTGCACATCCAGTCTTAGTTTGCTAATCCAGCATTACACTGATGTTTGCACACATGCCAGTTACCCAGGAGAAACTCAATTACAGACATTGACTTCAGTGAACCTCCAATGCCACAAAAAGCATGAGATTTTGTTGAGTTTTGTTCGTTATAAATGTAACTTCATACACATATAAGTTGAATGGGGTGTATTAATTTATGTTAGGGCCTATTAATCTTATTACCTGATCAATTTTCTTCAGTTCAGTTTTTGCTTCAAAGTTGTTTGCATCCAGCTCTAAAACTTTTTCATAATCTATTAGAAGACCAGAAAACAACATTTCAGGTAGGAACTCTATAGACTAGTAAACACAGTATAAAATAAGAGCATTCTTTCGAGACAACCCTTTATATAGTTACCTAAAAAGTCCAAGATATTACACCAAAACCACATTATTCTGAGTGTCCTGGTTTGAGATGCTAAAAGCTACATTATTCTACAACTTCTAATACGTGTAACAATCACTTGGACTTGCTGCTTGAATTTCACCTTGCCAGAAGAACATATGATGTGGCATATAATTTCTTTGTTTACAGGCAATGAAAAAATTCCTACATTAAATAAGCAAATCACACAAGCTTTAACCAAGCAGAACAGGTTATATGTCTTTTAAGGAATGATTTTTAAGAAGACTCACCTTCTTTAGCACCTTGAAGATTTTTCAAAGCAAAACGAGCAGCTCCTCTTCTGGCATAAGCCTTTGTGTAATTTTTATCTAAAGCAAGAGCTAAATTGCAGTCAGATTCTGCAACTGAAAACCTGTCAAAAATACAAATTAATTAGTTTGAACATATCTAGGTAACAAAGCCAAAACTTCAGCAAGTTAGCTTACTCTGAAGATTTATGGTTTCTCTCTGGAGTGGAAATTTTACACGCTCCAGAAGGGGCACAGAACAAGTATTTAACCATCTCTCAATTCAGAACACATTAAAACAGGAAAAGAAAACAGAGGACAACAATGTCTACTCCAACAGAAAGAATTAGGAACTCTCCTATATCTTTTCTTCCCCTGAAATAAATTAAAGCCCTAGAAACAGAATTTGCTGAATCTGAAAGGCAATTTTTTTTTAAGTCTCATACTGTAACACAGAAGACAGTGAATTCCCAGTATGAAAGCAGAGGAAAAAAAGATGAGAGAGACTACCAGATTCCTTATCCTGGCAACTCCTCTTTTACTTTGAAACCATAAAGAAGGTTGCAACAACAATCTTAACACAGACTGTATTATTCATCATGCTCTAGTACAATCAAGAGTTAAAATCAGACAAAAAAATCTGAAGGCAGCATTCAAAAGAAAAGATTTAACAACACAAGTCTTACTTTTTCATTCTATAAAAAGCCGATGCTCTGTTTGTGGGTAATACTGGATTGTATGGATCAGAATGCATCCCTCTGGTATAACATTTTATAGCTTCATCAAAGTTCCCTTGTTTAAAGAACTTATTACCCTGTGATTAGAAGAAAGTCATATTAGCAAATTACTGTACATTCACAGGCATATTACTAATTTTGATGAAAAAATTCAAAGCTCGTAGTTTAGAATGCTCAAAGATTTTTGTTTAATATCTCTCACAAAGTATTGCTTTACTGTAAAACATTTAACTAAAATATTCTAAATATCCAATATTAAGTATTTCTAATGATTTATGCAATAAGAGAGTTTAATTATATATTGGTTTTCAGTATCTGCAGGTCATTTCCAAAAACCTGTAACAAGCACATACACAGCTGCTTAAGTTGCCATAAAGAATTATTGAAGTTTGTTTTGTTGGGGTTTTTTTGGTTTTGTTTTGGTTTTTTTTCCCGTTTTTAGTAACTAGATTGGGTACCTTGGCTTTCAAAGGTAAGTAAGTATTCTCATTTCTGCCTCATTTGGGACACAATTTTTGCCTTCACCTACTTCACTGCAACCAAGATTATGATCAAAAACATCTCAGTTACTCAGTGTAGACTAACAAACATCAGGAAATTTCTACAGCAGCAGGGAAAGTCAGATCTTACCTGTGCAGCCAACAAAAAAATCCTAATGAACTGTACTGAAGAAAAGTATGGACTGACAGATGGTTTTAGATGATGACAGATGGTTTAGATTGTTTGCAAATGAAGAAGTTTCTCAGAACTACCAAAGTTGCCATACAACTAACTTAGCCTTGTCCAGATTGCTGATAAAAATATTGAACAAAAGTGGCCCCAATACTGAGTATAACAAACAGTTATAACACTACAACCTTTTCCTTCTCTGCAAGAGCTTTTTCTGCATCTATACGGATTCCATCTTCCTCAGAGTCTGATTCTGGAGATACGGAATCATGGGTACTATCTTCTTTATCAAGTTCTTCAAGTATTTTATCCTAGAATCAGACAAAAATAAATTATCTTCATTATAATTTAACAATACAAAATAAATCAAGCAAGACTTTAGTATAATTAGTAGTGGGATTTAAAAACCTCTGTTGCCTAAGTCCTCTTTACCAAAGAGTATTCCACACTCCAAAAATAAGCAACCTATCCTCTAATACTGCCAGCTGTGCTTATATTAGAACCTTTTAATAGATCTATCATTAAACCGTTTTTTTTTCTTTAAAGTCAAAATCAATCAGCAGGATGAGAGCACAGTCAATAGAAAACTAGTATTTCTCAACACTCCAAATTTTGAGCACATAAACCTTTTGGAAGAAAGCTACTTTCTACGTTCATACAGTACCCAGCACAGTAAGATACTGCCTTGTGGACTGAACTCTCAGCACTGTAAGAAAATCTGATAGAAGACAATCAATCTGGGAACAAGGTCAAGTTACCAAGCAAATATCTCACCACATCAAGTTTTCCCCATGCTTCATAATCATAAGACTTGATCTTGTTTTTCTTGTTTTCCTCTGTGGTTATCTTTGAAGGGACTTTACTTTTGCTTTTCTTCTTTTTCTTGAAAGCCTTGTTTCGAATTGGTGGCAAATTCTAAATTGAAATAAGTAATTTGTTATAAAAGAAGATGTGTGAAAGTCCCTTGTATTGAAGAATCTATATTACCTAGATCCAGATATAGTATCTGTACCTATTGGCTAGTTTTATTTTAGAAATCCATCCAGCAAGCTCTGCTCAGAAATTCTACAAACCCATTAAGGACAGCAAGTACCAATCTTTCAATATATAGTAAAGTTAAGTTTTAGAAGACAACTCTCTGCAGAGTATCACTTAATGTATTGATGTGACACTTCAAAGTGAGCAATAAGTAATACCAGTGCTGCAAACAGAAATATTCTCCCGGCTCTACCCAGAATTGATTAAAAATGTATTGGCCCCAACACCTCCAGAAGCTACTGCCCCACAGCTCTGCTGGTGGATCAATTTACGCAGGAATCTTTGGGCTGCTTCAGACAAGGAACAAATCATCTGGGTCAGCTCCTACCTTCTATTCAGATATTTTAGGTCAACATATGTAATTTTACTGAAGCAAAAAAGTAATTATTATAAACGCTATCACATTGCGAACAGCTGAGTTAAAACAGACACTGGACTTGTGATTTTACCTCTTCTGGGACACCACTCTGTTTCCTTAGTTCAGAATCCACTTCTTTAATATCTTTTTCCCAGCTCTCCAATTCTCTCATAAAATCCTGCAGCTCTTCAGCATTTTGCTTCATTTGCAGCTGTAGTTCTAGTGCTTTATTTGGTGTAGTCATTGTAATCTGTCAAATTTCAAGGAAAAAACTTTCTAAAAAGAACTTGAAAGTATGTACTGAAGGAATCCAGCTGCTTCAAAACCAGGAACTTTGACTTATATGCAAGACCTGCTTCCAAATAGCACAGTAGGAACATTACATAGTACGAAACTAAGACGAAACACAATTTAAATATCTTTGCAAAAATTACAGGGAGCATGTTATTAGATAAAGTATATCAGAACGAACAGTTAGTCATGTTTTCCCATGCCCAACAAGTCAAGGAAAACCCTGAAAATGGTAGCAAGGTGGTCTTTGTTTCAAGCAACTTCTGCCGTGTTTCAAAGATGACAGTATGATGAAAAATTTAACACATCTTGAGGCCTTTTCTTCTTGTGGTATTGCTTTTTACTTGGAAGAGGAGACCAACCCTCATCTCACTAAAACCTCCTTTTAGGCAGTTGTAGAGAGCTAGAAGATCTCTCCTCAGCCTCTTTTTCTCTAGACTGATCAACTCAGGTTCCCTCAGCTCTCTTCATAAGACCCTTCCCCAGCTTTGTTGCCCTTCTTTGGACACGCTCCAGCACCTCGACGTCCTTACTGTAGTGAGGAGCTCAAAACTGAACACAGTATTCAAGGTGCAGCATCGCTAGTGCTGAGTACAGGGGGACAATTTCTTCCTAAGTCCTGCTGGCCACACTACTCCTGATACAAGCCACGATGCTGTTGGACTGGACATAACTGCGTGAGTACGGGGGGAGCTCTTAATTCAGACAGTTAAGGCCATGAAACATGGGCACGGGCACACCCAGGATTCCACACAGCCTAACACACCACAGCAAACAGTACCTAGAACAAGCTGCTTCAAAAGATGCACAAAACTATACTGTGATCTCTTGGATCTCATTTCTCTTTTGCTACCACTGACAAAGTAATATTCTTACACAGGTGAAAAGCTTAGCAATAAAGCTAGCTGTTTGTTTTCTGGCATTCTAAAGCATCTTGCACAAGTGTTTAACTAAGTCTGCTCCTGCTACCCACCAGCCTAACACAGCTTAGCTGGACCCCAGCCCACAGGCTGACAGGAGGCTCCTCGCCAGTTCGGCTCTTACACCCTTCCAGACAGTTTTAAGTGTGTCTCAACGCTCGGCTCGTCCTTTGCTTCACCCGAGGGCT